AGGTAATTGAGGTAAAAGCCAAAAGAAGAACTGGACAGCTGAACTTTGTGACGTGTTTAAGACAGACTCTGGGAAGCCATTATGGAAACAAGCCTGTAGGGATGGGGGGCACTTTCATAGTTCAGAAGGGAAAAGTAAAGGCTCATATTATGGTAAGGGCCCATGAGTGTGTGCTTGCGTACGTGAGTGTTGGGTGCATAGGGTTCATTCTTAAGATTTTTAAGTGTGTTCAAAATTCTCCCTTGAAAAAATCCTGAATAAATCTTTTGCTTAGAGTTTTAAATGACATAGTGTAAATCATAATGAGAGATGTCTGGGTAGAGTTCTCTTTCAGTTTTTGTTTGGTTTTTGTTTTTTTTGAGATAGGATCTCACTGTGTAATGCAAGCTGGCATGGAACTCACTGTGTAGCTCAGGGAACTTGCTTTTCAATGTGCAAAATCTAAAACTAAGTACACAACAGACTTTGCAACGAACATGGTGGTGATTTGGGGGAAAGAAATTGCATTATGGAGCTGGGTATGGTGGCAACTCACCCATAATCCAAGCACTCTAGAGGCTGAGGCAGGAGGATTGCCCTGAGTTCAGGGCCACCCTGGGCTACATAGTGAGTTTAAGGCCAGCCTGGACTACAGAGTGAAAATCTATCTCAAAAGAAAAGAAATTGCACTATGAAAATTATAATCTTATGCTTCTGAGTACAGAGGCAAGCACTTGGAATCCCAGCTATTCCAAAGGCTGAGGCACAAGAATCACTTATACCCAGGACTTTGACACCAACCTGAGCAACACAGATCCCGATTCTAAAAATAAATATGTGCTAAATATGTCAATAACACATTGTGTATGGAATACTAGATGAAGCCAGGTTTAAGGCATTTGCTACTTTATTTTATAATTTTTAGTAGTTGGATAAATGAGTATGAAAATAACCCTTTAACAGTTTCTTTTTTGGGGGGCAGAGTCTTGCTATGTAGTTTACACTGGCCTTGAACCCACTTTGTAGTCTAGGCTGGCCTCAGACTCAGCAGTAATCCTGTCTCAGGCTCTCCAAGTGCTAGGATTACAGGAGCGCACCACCACCCCTAGCTCCTAGCACTGTTTTTGAAAAGGCTGTTCTTTTTCTTGCTGAATGTGTTGACACTCTTTGAAAATCATTTCAACCTCTAGGCAAGGGCTTTTTTTCTGGCTTCTCCATTCTATTCCATTAGTCTGGATGTCTGTTGTTACATCTCTAATGAGTGGTAAAGTTTTATTACTATAAGTTTACAGTAAGTTTTAAAATCAAGAAGTATGAGATCGGGCCAGGGAGATGGCTCAGTGGAATAAGTGCTTCCCTGGCAAGCACAAGGGCCCGAGTTCAATCCCTGGTTGTGCCAAAAAAAAGAAGTATGAGATTGCTAACTTTTTCAAGGTTTTGAAAATTTCAGTGTCCATATGCTCAATGCAATTTTTAGGATCTATTTTTCTGTGAAAAAGTCATTAAGATTTTAGGGGCCGGGGAGATGGCTCAGTAGAATAA